AGACTGCCCCGTTTGCTGGGGCTCAGGGGGTTCTTCCCGTCGTGGTAGGCCTTCCATTTGGCTTGAATCTGGCGCCTCACGTTTTCTCACACATTACTCGGGTCGTGGTGGCCCACCTGAGTCTGTTAAGTGTTCGGGTTCTGGCCTACCTCGAGGACAAGCTGGGTTAAGCTCCCAGTCAGTCCGGGTGTCTGTTCGCCAGGGTTTTGGTTCTTTCCCAGCTCGCCGAATATGGGTTCTTGGTGAACTGGCGAAAGTACCATCTGGTTCCCTCTCAGGTTCGGTCTTGGCTGGGTCTTGTGTGGGACACTTAAACCGCTTCCTTGTCTCTTCCTCCTGCAGCACTGCTTCGTCTGCGTTCCCACCTTCTTCTGTTCCTGAGCGGCTCCCGAGTCACGCGGCGGCTGTTCAAGGGGTGTACAGGAGCCTGAACCTTGCCATGATGGTCTACCCGCCAGGTCTGGTGTGGCTTCAACTTTTCTGGTTCCTTTAGGGATGTCGTTTCCACCTCTCGCAACCGCTGAGTTTGGCCTCCGGGAGGTTTTGCATCAGTTGCTGCGTCACTGTCTTCCTCTTCGGGTTTTTCAGGGTTCACTGCCTTGGCACCTACCCGAGCCCTCACTCAATGTGTTCGCAGACGCATAGTTTCTTGGCTGGGGCTTTGTGGCCAGTACTCACCAAGCCGGCCAGGTACGGTGGGGTCCGTCCTTTCGTCAGGCTCAGAGCACGGTGCGGGAGTTTGCAGCTGTGTGGATGTCGCTCCGGAGGATTCGGGTCGCTCGCAGATCGACTATCCGGCTCCATTCGGACTGTTTCCCAGCAGTTCATTGCCTGAACCAAGGGGGTTCAAAGCAGTCCTTGGCTCTTTGGGGCTGGTCGTTTCGAGTGACTCGTCTGCTGAGTTCTCGGGGTTTGGCTCTCCTGGCAGTTCACATTCGGGGGGTGTCCAGTGTCCTGGCAGAAGGCCTGTCCTGGTTCATTCCCCTATCCACGGAATGGATGGTCGATGCCAACTCATTCAGTTGGCTCTGCCAGCCTTTCAGATCTCCGGAAGTAGCTCTCTTTGCGTCAGCGTGGTCTAGGCATCTCCCGGTATATGTGGAGCCCTTACCCGACTGCGAGGTCATCGGGGTCGACACCTTCAGGCAGGACTGGGCGAGGTGGGGTTCCCTGCACCTCTTTTTCCCGGTTCAGCTGTTGCTCTAGGTCCTGGCTCACTTGGAGACTTACCAGGGGAGAGCTGTCCTTCTGGCTCCTTGGTGGCCAGCCCAGCCTTGGTTTCAGGCGCTGCTTGCTCGGTGTCTGAACCCAAGGGTCTTCCTGCTGCTCTGCCTCTTTCGGCAGATCTGTCCAGCCTGGTACGAGACTGGTTCGTTCGTTCTCCTCGAGTCTTCGCATCTAGAGTTCTGACTCGAGTCTCTCATTACTTGCATGGGGCGCAGGTGGCTTCACTGTTGGTCTGCCACCTGTGTGCTTCGTCTCGGTGGCAGTATGAATTTTCCTGGCAGTCCTTCCGTTTTTTGTTTTTTTTTATCACTGTAGGTATACTTTGGTCTCCGATAGGGTTGTCTTGTCCTTCCTTTCGTGGTTATTCCGGGACAGTCATCTTATGCCAAATACTGTTGCCTCGTATCATGCAGAGCATGGCGGACCCGCTGCTGCTTGTTGACTGATGCCAGAAAGCTAATAGATACATATGAGCCTGGATAGCTGATAATAATATTCTACAGATAATTCATTCTTTTGCAGGTCTTGTGTCCAACCAAGTCTTTTTCTGATCAACTTGACTTGACTTGACTTTGTTTTTGGGGCTCCTCTTGCAGGGTGTGTCATAGAGTTTTCAGTCCCTGTCAGCCATTCTTACTGCCATTGGCTTCCCTCCTGTCTAGGCTTTGTCCTAGCATGGCTGTCATTTGCTTCTGATCTATCCTTGCTGTTAGATCCTTTGTTCCTATTGGACTCTTAAGCTGTCTGTGTTCTCTATTCTGGGCATTAGCATTATTTTCTGCGCTACCATTCAGGTAAGGCCGTTCAGTAATTCTCTTGTTAGTCACATCCTTCTCCACATTTGTCCTACTCAAACTTCCAGTCACATGGTGTTTGGTGACAAGCTTACTGAATTTCTGTTTTTTTACTTTTCCATGCAGCTCCTCATCAAATATTTATGTTTTCAGCCTTGTACACTACTTAACAGTTAGCAGGGCATTTCTTGATAAACTCTTCTGAGGCTGAGTAGCACTTGTAGAGAATTTTGTGTTCAGATGAATGATAATTCTTGATGTCATTCTGGTCTTCACAGAATGATCTTCGGTGTTTCCTTTATCCACTCACTGTCACCGAGTAGGAGTTGAAGAGACCTCCTGCTGTGCTGGAGTTAAGGTCATCATTGCTTTTGTCTCATTTGTCCTTTAGAAAAGCAGGTGATTGCATAGGGGAGCAACTGAGTGTGCAGTACAGAAAAGAGCGTATAACAATATAATGTACATCAGAACAGCAGGAACTACAGAAGGCGTATTGGGCTATGCTCCAATATATATATATATATATATATATATATATATATATATATATATATATATATGCGAACAAGCCTGAATGGTCCCCAGGACATATGCAACTGAAAACTCACACCCCAGAAGTGACTCGAACCCATACTCCCAGAAGCAACGCATCTGGTATGTACAAGACGCCTTAATCCACTTGACCATCACGACCGGACAAAATGAGGTGATAGCCGAGGCTATTTGAACCACCCCACCGCCGGCACTCGGATAGTTATCTTGGGCATAGCATTTTACCAAATCACCTCATTCTTGCAACACGTGAGGAACACAAATGCGAACAAGCCTGAATGGTCCCCAGGACATATGCAACTGAAAACTCACACCCCAGAAGTGACTCGAACCCATACTCCCAGAAGCAACGCATCTGGTATGTACAAGACGCCTTAATCCACTTGACCATCACGACCGGACAAAATGAGGTGATAGCCGAGGCTATTTGAACCACCCCACCGCCGGCACTCGGATAGTTATCTTGGGCATAGCATTTTACCAAATCACCTCATTCTTTGGGGCAACACGTGAGGAACACAAATGCGAACAAGCCTGAATGGTCCCCAGGACATATGCAACTGAAAACTCACACCCCAGAAGTGACTCGAACCCATACTCCCAGAAGCAACGCATCTGGTATGTACAAGACGCCTTAATCCACTTGACCATCACGACCGGACAAAATGAGGTGATAGCCGAGGCTATTTGAACCACCCCACCGCCGGCACTCGGATAGTTATCTTGGGCATAGCATTTTACCAAATCACCTCATTCTTTGGGGCAACACGTGAGGAACACAAATGCGAACAAGCCTGAATGGTCCCCAGGACATATGCAACTGAAAACTCACACCCCAGAAGTGACTCGAACCCATACTCCCAGAAGCAACGCATCTGGTATGTACAAGACGCCTTAATCCACTTGACCATCACGACCGGACAAAATCCAAAATTTGTGTTCCTCACGTGTTGCCCCAAAGAATGAGGTGATTTGGTAAAATGCTATGCCCAAGATAACTATCCGAGTGCCGGCGGTGGGGTGGTTCAAATAGCCTCGGCTATCACCTCATTTTGTCCGGTCGTGATGGTCAAGTGGATTAAGGCGTCTTGTACATACCAGATGCGTTGCTTCTGGGAGTATGGGTTCGAGTCACTTCTGGGGTGTGAGTTTTCAGTTATATATATATATATATATATATATATATATATATATATATATATATATATATATATATATATATATATATATATATATATATATATATATATATTGGGCTATGCTCCAATATATATATATATATATATATATATATATATATATATATATATATATATGTCGTACCTAATAGCCAGAACGCACTTCTCAGCCTACTATTCAAGGCCCGATTTGCCTAATAAGCCAAGTTTTCATGAATTAATGTTTTTTCGTCTACCTAACCTACCTAACCTAACCTAACCTAGCTTTTTTTGGCTACCTAACCTAACCTTACCTATAAATATAGGTTAGGTTAGGTTAGGTAGGGTTGGTTAGGTTCGGTCATATATCTACGTTAATTTTAACTCCAATAAAAAAAAATTGACCTCATACATAGAGAAAAGGGTTGCTTTATCATTTCATAAGGAAAAAATTATAGTAAATATATTAATTCAGGAAAACTTGGCTTATTAGGCAAATTGGGCCTTGAATAGTAGGCTGAGAAGTGAGTTCTGGCTACTAGGTACGACATATATATATATATATATATATATATATATATATATATATATATATATTGGGCTATGCTCCAATATATATATATATATATATATATATTGGGCTATGCTCCAATATATATATATATATATATATATATATATATATATATATATATATATATATATATATATATATATATATATATATATATTGGGCTATGCTCCAATATATATATATATATATATATATATATATATATATATATATATATATATATATATATATATATATATATATATATATATATATATATATATATATATATATATATATATATATATATATATTGGGCTATAGCTCCAATTTATACCCAACCCTACACTTGTATTTGTCTAACTTGAAACAATTAAGTTACCTTACATATATTGTTTGTTTGTTTATTGTTTGTTAAATATTTTGATGACAGATTCATTGGACAGTGAATTTGGCATGGTTCTAATTATTTTCCTCTATACAGTCCATATATCTGACAATTTTTGGTAAAAAATATTCTTTTCTTCTTGTTAACTTGGTAGGAAAACTTTACAATAGCATAGTTTGGTTGTATTTAATTTATGGAACATTTAATACAAGTTAAAGGTACTGTTATTGCTTGGAAAGAGTTCGTTCATAACCAGCAAAAAAAATGCAGATGATGCCTTCCTTTCAAAGCAATATATCATCAATTTAATATAATGTAATATTTTTCAGATACCCGAATCCAGGTCCTGGTGGAATTATTGGGCAGCAGCAACAAGGTCAAGGTGGTGGTATCAGACCAGGGATGATGACTCAACCCAACCCTATGGGCCAGCAGGGAGGACCTCCAGGCCCAGCCGTGATGGGTCCCCCTGGTCAGCCAGGGCAGCCTGGTCAGCCAGTTCAGCCTGGTGGGCAACCCCAGAGAAATGCCACACAAGCCTTACAGCAGCTTTTACAAACTTTAAAGAATCCCTCGGGTCCGCATCAACAATCGGAGGTTTTACAAATATTAAAGACTCATCCTCAGTTAATGGCAGCTTTTATCAGACATCGCCAACTTCAGCAACAAAGTCAACAGCAACAGCAGCAGCAGCAACAACAGCAACAACAGCAACAACAACAACAGCAGCAACAACAGCAACAGCAGCAGCAGCAGCAACAGCAACAAAACCCACCGGGACCAGGTCAACCAGGGTTGATACCACAAGGTGCAAGTGGGATGCAGGGATCTGTACAAGGGTCAATGCAGCCAAATATGCAACCAGGTGGAATGCAGCCTAATATACAGCCAGGGGGTATGCAAACCACTATGCAGGGGGGTATAGTGACTCAGATGGCTACCAACCAACCTATGCAGGGCCAGCCACAGCAAATGGGAGTTCCTCCAACGCAAGCCAATATGACGCATCAGCAACAATGGTACCAACAGCAAAAGCTTATGCAGTTAAGGCAGCAGCAACAACAGCAGCAGCAACAGCAGCAACAACAACAGCAACAGCAGCAGCAGCAGCAGCAACAACAACAGTCTCAACCAGGGGGCTTCCAACAACCTCAGGCACCAATGTATACACAGAGACGACAGTTGAGCTTCTCGCAGCAGCATAATTTCCAGGGTGGGGATGGTCAGTTTGGGCAAGGTTTTCCCCAGCAGCAGCAGCAACAACAAATGCTGATGCAGCAACAACAAATGAAGCCAGTGCCACCTTCTATGTCACCTCAGTCTGTTGCCCCGGGCATGATGCCTCCTGGGTCAGCTATGACGAACCCGTCCCCACAGCAGCTGATGCAGACTGTTACGTCACCTCCACCAAGTAATTTGCCACAAACAGTGCGGTCACCTCAACCTAACCCCTCGCCTAGAAACCATGGTCCCATCCCGTCCCCGCGTATCCCGTCCCCGCGTGCGGGACCTGTACCTTCTCCACACCACCCAGCTCCAGTGCATTCTCCGCATCCTGGAAGTCAACAAGGCCCAGCGATGGGTGGTAGTGGTGCCCCAGGGGATTCCATGATGCTCTCCCAACTTGGGCCTGGAAGTGGGCATCAAACGCACCAGGGGTTGCCTCCTTTACAACCTGCCAATAACCAACAGATGGGTGGCATGGTGCCCACCTCTGAGGCAGATGTTACCCCACAAGACAAACTCTCTAAATTTGTGGAGACATTATAGTACCAGTGTGCTACTTAGCCCTTGTAGATAGTACCTTGTAAATATTTTGTAAGTAAGTCATGGATTCTCATACAGACTACAAATTGTGATTGTTATTTTTGCAGTGCTTTCTATCTGCAAAACAGGAAAGATATTATGCTTCCTTGAAGCAAACCCAGAGGAATATACTGCAGATTCTGAACTATAAACTCATGCCAATTCCTTAAAAGACAATTCACTTACCCTACGTGGGGTTTTCTAGGCTTATGAAAGACTAAAAAAGTAAACTCAGTGGTTACATAAAAAAAGATCGAAATGAAAATTTTATTACAGTAACTTTGTACAATTTTGCATTAGTCATTAATTTTGGGCAGTTGCTGTCTTGTTTATAATTTGAAGAGTGCAAATAGGTCTTTTTGCCAAGGTATTAGCTAGACACGTTTGGTGCATTCTAGCTTGCTGAACTACTAGAGCAGGATGTACTATGGGATTGTGCCTGTACATTTCTGCACAATAAGTGATAAAAGAATGTAAATGTAATGGTTTTGTTAAATCCCCTGTGCCCATGAAACTCCCAAAGCTACAGACTGCAGTGCAGGCACAACCTCAACGGTGACCTCCCTATAACTTTGACATTCCCTGTAGGTAACGCACTTGCCCTGGGGAGGTTTGCTGTCTCTGCTAGTGCTGTCAGTTTGACAGTGAATGGGGAGTGGGTAATAAGGAAACGTGTTCACACGCAGCGGACTCGAGGGATAGCTGCTGCTGCTACCACCATCATCCCAAACAAACTAGTACACAGTGCCCACTGCTGACCCATTCCATGCCCATCAACCTACTAAAGGAGAGGATAGTGAATTGGTTAGCAAGGGGAGATGGAAGGTGTGTGGGTGAGGGAAGTTGCAGCCAGTTTTCCTCCCGTCACGACGCCTCACCCACCTGTCCTCTATACAATTCTTTAATTTATTTCTCTTTAAAAATTTGATAAGTTTGTTTTCACATTTTCCAACGCTCAACGTGATGTATGTATGTAAATTGTTGATTGTATTGTCTAACAACACCTGCTCATTGGGAGTCCCCGTTCTTGTCCTGTATAATTGTATTTTAATGGGCATAAGAAATTTTTTAACTGTCTGGTCCCCCACTTTGTTATGTTTAATGTTGACCAATGAGGAAGTGTTGAACAGAGGATTTGATTATTTTATAATAAATATATGACAAATTAGAAGATTTTACATTACCTCTTGGATATTTTTTTTTTTTTTTTTTTTTTTTTTTTTTTTTTTTTTTTTTTTTTTTTTTTTTTAATCAATATCGTATTCAATACATCATTCCCTGCTTCTGTGAAGTAACCAGCCAGAGTCTTTGCCTATTTCAGACAAGTTATAATTTAATTTACAGTACTGTACCTGTATTTCATCCTTGTGTAATCAGTACGTTGTTAATTTAACCCCAGAATTTGGTACATCTTCGTAAATTGTTGGTATAACAAATTAACAAAAATATTCTGTAATCAGTAGATATATACATGTATATATTTTAATAATTAGTTCTTTTTTAATTTTGAGTTTACAATATAGACTGTTTACATTTCATTTTGTAAACATTGAGGAATTTTCCCATTCATCTCAACTTCACTGATCTGTCTTAAATAATTCCTTCAAACCATTCATACAATATTTTGAACTCAAGACAAAAATCTAAGCACTGATTTGTGTAGAAAAGGGGAATCTTTTCTTTAACTTCAGTAAAGGATATGGAAATAAGAGCAACAGGAAGCTCTTTTAGGAAGAAGTTGGGAACTTGTAGCAATGGGATTGATGGATGGGGTAAATGTAGAAGTTAATGATATGCATGAGAGAGTGCTTTGATGATGATGAATTTAGAAGTTACTAGAGAAGATTTTGAAGGTTTAATGAGTAAAGTGATGGCAGGTGCTAGTGCCAATATGATTGAATTTGGTGATGGAAGAAGTGTACAAATTTGTATGACAGCTGATATTTATGAAAGAGAGTTCTACAGTGAGGAAGCTGAAATGTGGAAAGTAGTATTTGTTGAGATATATGCAAAAATTATTAAATTTAACAGGAAAGGAATGGAGTGTATGTTGGTTATGTGCTATATGGCATGGAATTGTGCTAATGTAGTAGGTGATTAGAAAAAAATAACTGTTTAAAAATATAATTAATGTAGTGCTAAAATTAGGGGTCACTTACCCAAGTATTCAACAGGTAAGTAATCAGAAAAGTACATGGAATTACTAACACATTAAACAGAACAACAGGGCGAATTCTGTGGTTGAGTGTGTGTATATCTGATACAGTATTATGAATGTGAAAAGAATTTTAGGCTCTAGTCTCTTTCGGTATTGAAATTCTGTTTCATATTTGCTTCTGGAATACTGAAATAATTTTTTTGAGTTCATTTGACCTGTTGATCATCGTGCCACCAAAAGGTTCACATCAGATGCAGCAGTTCTGTTTGGCTTGGCCCCATGCTACATAGCCTTCCCGGCTTGGTGCCTTCTTTTGATAATTACTTACTTGACTTGGCCTCCTTTACAGAGGTCCATCGAGCGAATGACAATTTGCCAGCCCCCATCGTGAAAGCATCCATAAAGTCAGCAAAGTTTTGCAGGAGTAAAGACCACTAGAGCTAGACCACTTCAGGAAGGAAGGGGGGGTCCCTTCCACTGATAGCACAGGCATTTGAGCCTTCTGGTCCCACTAGATGTTCAAGGATTTTGCTTTCACACGTGAAATTTACCTGGATAGGGTCCTGGGAGTTGTTATACTCCCCAAGCCCGGCCAAGGCCATTACTTGGTCCAACAGGCTGCTGCTTGAAGTGACCCACAGACACATACATCCACTATAGCTCAGGTGGTCCAGCACTTCTTGCAGGAATATGTCTAGTTGTTTTCTGAAGTTCACCTTGGGCAATATTTCTTTGCTTGTTGGGAGGGTATTGAAGAGCCATAGACCTCTGATGCTCATACAGTGCATTCTAACTGTGTATATGGCACCTCTACTCCTCACTGGTTCTATTCAGTATTTCTTTCCAGTGTTCACTCCAGTGTGTTGTTACTTTACCGTGCAAATTTCGAACCTGGCCCCCCCCCCCAGTATTTTCCATGTACTGTATATATTATTTGATGTCCCTCTCGTTGCCTTTCTAGACAGAACATTTTGAGAAGCTTTGAGACAATCCCAGTAGTTCTTTAGATCCAAATAGATCCCAGTCAAGTGCTTTATTGTGTTTATGTGCGCTGTATACATTCTCTGTATTCCCTCTATTTCAGCAAAATCTGCTTTGAAGGGGTGTGAGAGTGACGAGCAGTACTCAACATGGGACATCGCAAGTGATTTGAACAGTATGAGCATTGTCATGGGATCTCTGGATTTGAAGATTCTCATATTCCATCTTATTATTTTTCTAGCTGATGCTATATTTTCTTGGTTATGCTTCCTAAGTGTTAGGTTGTCAGACATCATTACTCCCAGATCTTTACATGTTTCTTTCCTACTGTGGGCAGATTTGATTGTGTTTTGTACCCTGTACTTTGGTTAAGGTCTTCATTTGTACCATACCTAAGGACCTGTAATTTATCACTGTTAAACATCATGTTAATTTCTGCTGCCAAATTAAATAAATTTATTAATATCGGCTTGTAGTTTTTCAGTGTCTTCTACAGTATAAACTTTTCATACGGATTTTTGTGTTATTTGCAAAAGAAAACATGAACCTAGGACTTGTATTATTGGCTATATCTGACAGAAGAATAAGGAAAAGCAGTGGTGCAAGGACTGTGCCCTGAGGTACAAAGCTTTTCACTATGCTTGGACTCGATTTTATTTTATTGTTACTCCTTGTGTTCTGTTTGACAAAATTTAATATGTATCACCCTGGTGATACATAGGCCTGGTCGACGACCGGGCTGCGGGGACGCTAAGCCCCGGAAGCACCTCAAGGTAAGGTAACCCTGTTTTACCTGTTACTTCTACTGACCTCATTTTGTGGGTTATCACTCCATGGTCACATTTATCAAGTTCCTTTGCAAAGTCTGTGTATACCACATCTGCATTCTGTTTTCCTTCTAATGCATCAGTGATTTTGTCATAGTTGTTAAATAGCTCCAAAAGAGCATGATCTTCTTACTCTAAACCCCCTCCCTGTCCAGCCGTTGTTGCCGTGAGGGGGCTTGGTGGGCGGCTGCTGGAGTGTGATGCTCCATGGGACAGTCCTCTGTCCTTTTGTGGCCTAATGCTCCTGCTGCTGTCGTCACGAATTCTGCTGGACGACTTTAACTTTTCCTTATGTCTCGTTCCCCTCCCCCCCTCTTCTCCTTTCTAATTGTCATTTCCCGCCGACCTTTTGCCTGTTTTGATCATTCTTTCGGCCTTCTTTTGTTTAGATGCCCGGGTGTTTGAGGGAGGCATACTCTTGCACCCGTAGAACTGTAGTACCCAACGTCTCGAGCGAGGGGGACCCTTTTATTGTCAATCCTCCTTTTGTCACTGAACCCGATCTCGACAGACTGACAGTTCTTAAGGTGGTTTTTGTGGGGCGTATACTCATGACGCACCCCTAGGGGAAGCCCCAACAAGATCGGCAACACGTCTCTTGTTGGGTGTCCTGCCTCTAATTGTGGCTCCATGGTGGGTGTGGGGGCACATTTGTGAATGAAAGTCTGACCTCTGAATGAAGTCAGACCATGTTGGAAGACCAGGCTCTGTGGCCCCCGATGCATTGGGCCCTGACCTTGGTCCTCCTTTGACCCTCCTGACTCCTCTCCTCGGCTCCCCTCCCACTGTGGTTGGGTCGAGCCACAAGCCCCCAGTGATGACCACCTTGTCCCGTGGCACGGCTCAGTCTCTCATTGTGACTACTGCGCCTTTTAACCCCTCTCTGGGGGTTCTCAACGCTGTCCACGCCACAGCTCTACTCGCTCGACCCCTTCCCGTACTGATGCATACCAGACCTTCTTTGGTCCCACTTTGTGGACCAAATACTTTGATCTTCTCCTTCTGGATTCTATACCTGACGATTTCTCCCTCCATAAGCGCCTTGTTGATTCGGTAGATGCCTCTGTTACTTTCAACCCCACCCGTCTCGGTACACGTGTTGTTGCTGCTCCTTGTCAGGATGCAGCCACCCGCTGGGCCGCTTTATCCTGCCTTGGTGAGACCCCTGCTCGGGTCTCCAAGAACGCTCGGTTGAATGCCAGTGTGGGTACTATTCTCCTCCCATCCCATGTTGCAACCGGTGTTTACAATCTACAGGATTGCCATGAAGATATTCGGCATATCCTCGAAGCCCAGGGCCATTCTGTCCTCCAGGTAGACACGTTTACTCGTCCCCCTCGTGGTCGTCGTCATCAGCCCCTTTGGGTTGTGAAGATTACCTTTGGTGGTAGGACCCTTCCGCCCTCTGTCATTCTTGCTGGTGTCAGGTGCTCCGTCCAGGAGTACATTCCCTCTCCTCGGCTCTGTAATAAGTGCTGGAGGTTTGGGCATGGTGCCCTCCGGTGCTCCAGTACTCTCTCTCTTCCTTGTGTGGGGACGAAGGGTACTCTAAGTCAGAGTGCACTTCTCCCCGGGCTCACTGCCTCAATTGCGGTGAGGCCCACCCTACCTTCTCCCGCACGTGTGTACTGTACATTACAAACTTGAGGCTGCCGTCCTCACCTTGAAGCACCGGGAACGTTTGTCTTTTTTGCCAAGTTCGCCATCTTCCCCCTTTCGCTGGTGTCTTTTATGCTCACGTGTTGCACTGTTCTTCTTCTCCTCGTCCTACCCACCTTCCTCAGTCTCATAACCGTTTCCAGGCCTTAGACCCAGACACGCCCACTGCCTTCTCCTCTGTTCCTTTAAGTTCTGTCCAGAAGGGTCCCCCTCATGGTTCTCTATCTGGGTTTCCCCTTCTTTCTACCCAGTCTGTCTTTTCTCCTGTGTCTTTTTCCTCGTCTCCCTCCGATCCTCCTTCCCATCCTTCTCCTCCGTCTCTTAGCTCTCCACGTCGCCTGTCAGTGCGAACTGATGTCCATCACTCTCCCAGCGTCCATCGTGTTGTTTGCTCTCATCCCTCCATCCTTCTCCTGTTGAGACGCTTGAATCTGTTGCCCAGTACATTGTTGCTGGGACACCTGTCTTTTTGCGTCGGAAGCGAAAGCCTGGCTCCTCTCCCTCCTCCCAGGCGGGTAAGAAGGCTTCACTTTCTTCCTCGCC